AGAAAATCCTAAGAATGTTACGAAGGTTATGTAAGTTCGAAGATAATACAAAAGCAATAAAATCATTTGCATAAAAACAATTTAGTTTCTTCTATACGTAAAGAAGAAGATTCATGATGATGATGATGAAAACGATGATGCAATGATAAATCAACTTCACCTTGTATAGTTTCATTTAGTATTGAACATAAGATAAAAAAAAAGTATCATTAAATCTCTTACAAAATTGACATGAGGAAAATCCTTGAATTTTCCTTTTCTTTTTAAACTTATGAAAATCATTAAAATATCCTAACATTTTCTATTTTTGTTTGAAGTGCTGATCATTTTATCTATTGATTTTTGTTATAATATCGATAACAAACCTATGTGAATGATTAAAAAGAAAATGACCGATATATTCTTTTGGATTAAAATTCTTAATATATAGGTGTGTATAATCTTTATCGATTAAATCCCATCATTCATCATTAATGCATGACTGTTCTAGTTTGTTATTAGTTCAAAATAAACCTATACATTGCTTTTCTATAATCAAAAAATAAATAATAGATTTTCGTTTTGCTGATATTATTTAATAGTTGCAAGTTTGATACAATAAAAAACAATGATCAAATTTACATTGATTAATTACGTTCACATTTTGACCACAATACTTAATCCTTGGGCGTGATGCTTTACGAATAAAGAAAAAAAATTGGTCCGTACTTTGTTATACAAAGACATTCTCATTCTCATTACAATAACTAAAGAATGTGTTTGAGATGACATAAAGAGGACATACATACATACACACGTAAGTAATTTTTTATGGTTAAAAGAATAAAAAAAAAAAAAAGATTTACGTAATCGACCTTTGACTAATCACGCACTTGTCGTCCTTCTTTTAACGCTATCTTTTGTCGAATGTTGAGTATGAAAAATCTTCATATAAGATACTTTCTTGTTTCTCTATTAATTAACAAGGCTTAAACACAATGTATATCCTTCATGATAAATATTTTTCGTTAGTTTTTTTTTTCTCAATAGTACAAGAAACAAAAGATTAGTTTCAAGAACAAAATTGAGTTCATCATGAATTTTTCTTTATTTTTTTCTTTTTTTTCGTTTTTCGAGGTTCACTGATAAGTTTCTTTTTTTGTTCTTCTCGTACAATTTAGGTCATCGCTCTTCTTCTTTCTACTTCCTGATCGGTGTTGGTGCAGGTATTAACATTTATTTAAATAACTTTTTCTTTTTCTCGTCGTTTCGTTCGTTTGTTTGTTCATACGACAAACATAGAGAGAAAGAGAGAACAAATACGTTTGACGCTCTTTTTTTCTTTTTTGACCAACCTCTACAACACGATAATTTGTCTCAACATTCTTTCTTCTAGGCTATGTTAATGTAACATTGGAAAAAAAAATGATTCAAATAAATGTTCAAAACGAACACTAAAAATGTTATTTTAATAATGAACACAATGAGTGTTAGATTATCATCATGCTTAATCAGTCAGATCGACGTTTATTTTACTTTACAATAATTTGTAAGTAATTAAAGTGTTTTTCGTAATCAAAAAAAAACATATTTATATATATATATACATATATTAAAATAGTTTTAGTTATTATTCAATTAATAAGATCCGAAACGTTTAAATGTGTTAAAGATGGTTTTTTTCCGGATAAAAAAGATTGTTGGATTTATCATATTTGTGTTGGTTCCACACATTCAGTAAAAGCTTGTAAAGAAGAACTTTTATTCAATCCAATAAAAAACGAATGTGATTGGGCAATGAATGTAAATGACAAAGAAATAAAGCACAAAACCTTTTCTATTTTAGTTTTCACAACAAAAAAAAAAGAAGAAATTCTATCTTTTCTTTTAGGTTAATTGTAGTCAAACATCATACGAAGATGCTCTTCCACCAACCATGCCAACACATGTTCTTTATCCTCCTGGTAAGATTTTAATTATTATTATCTTTTTTTTGTTTGTATTTTGATTTCATGCTTTCATTCTTTTTTTTTTTTTTGAAAGATTTTGATTATCCAATTCCTTCATCATCTGCCGGTGATAGTGTTAATCGAGGAAAATATCCGTCAAACTATCCATTAATAACTGATTCAATATTCGAATATTTATGTCGATCAATTGATAACGACTATGTAGCTCATCCGACTGATTGCAAACGATATGCTTATTGTGCAAACGGTAAGAAACGTGACATCTCATCTGTCGTTTTCTTCGTCTTCGTCTTCTTTTTTTTTTCTTCGAACAAGAGACGTGTGGACATCGAGTCAATAGATCAAATGCACATCTTGTCTTGTCTACATTCGAACAATTAATCTTGATTCATCCTAAACTAAGAAGAGAAAAGCTTCATGTTATTTATTTACTAAAAGAAAGCAATAAGAAGAAACAGGAAAGGTCTAGTCGATTTTAATGTATTGTCCTACATTTACTACATAGTCATTGTGCAATTAGTAAATGAGAGAAAGAAAAGATGATTCCATTTGTTTATTTAAAATTTGATAAAAATAATTCGTTCTTTGTTTTTTTAAATTTAATAATCATCATAGGTGTATCACAAGCTAAAATATGCACAAAAAATTTATTTTGGTCTCAAAGTGAACGAATGTGTGTTTGGCCAGTACAATCCGATTGTAAATTTGATTATTATAATTTATATTATATCATAATCGAGAATATATTTTTGATAGGTCCGGTGAAGAATTTAAGTCCAGAACCTTCGATCGGAGCAGGTGCTGGTGCTCCATGGATACCACGTGGTACAACTTATCCAGCATCATATATTCTAACAGATGCACCACCTTCACTTCCTTCATCAAATGTATATAAAACAACAGTTGAATGTCCTTCAACACAATCATGGCGTGTACCTGATCCATATGATTGTTCAATTTATCATGATTGTTATCATGGTACTGATCTTTTATCTTATTGTCCAGCTCAACTCTATTATAATGCAGAAAAACAAAGTTGTGATCATGCACAAAATGTTAAATGTAATAAAATATTTGTTATGTATATAGATATATATATATTGATATTCGAAATAATTGATTTCTATAGGTAAAAATAAATGTACACCAAAGAATGAAGGTGCACGATTTGTAGATATAACAAGTTGTTGTCATTTTTATGAATGTATATCAGGTAAATTAATACCTCAAACATGTACACATCCGAATTTATTTGATATCCAAACTCGTACATGTTTACCATATAAAAAAGTTAAATGTGATGGACGTCGACAATGTTTAAGTAAATGTAAGAAGAATTTATTTTATATTGATATAAATATTTTATTTTATTTTATTTTATTTTGTTTATATTAGGTCATTATTTATCTAATTATGATGTTGGTAAAACTTTATGTGATTTTGTTCCATCATGTTCTGGTCATAGTGATGGATTTTATCTTGATCGTACAAAACCAAATTGTCAATCATATATACAATGTCTTGATAATCGTGTAGCCAATCATAGTCGTTGTCCATATGGACAACGTTTTAATAGAAATATTGGACGATGTGCACCAGCTGATCAAGTACCTTGTCATGGTGAGTTAACGACTTTCTTTTAAAAATTTGACATTCAATTGTTGTGTTTATGTTTATTAATGTTTTACATGTATTACAGAGTTTTAATCTGAGTCTGGTCAAACTAGTGAGTTTTTACCGATGAGAAAAAAAAGCACTGTTGGCTTTTTACAGATTTCTTTTTTTTTCTGACAAAATATATTGAGAAAGCAAGTTTAAGTGCTCTTATCAAAATAGTCAGACAATATTTTTTCCAGATACTATCAGTTTCATTACTTTTTATTCATCTATATTGTTTCTTATTTTGTAAAAAGAATAATTAGAACTGTGTGACTTGAGTCAAACTTATCAATTGATTTCATTGATGTTCTATTACATATCTTATTAAGACTTGAACCGTCGTTTGAATAGAAGCATTTAAATTTTTCTATAAACCTTATGTGAAAAAATAATTAAAGATTTAAATTGAGCGTGTCGACTGTCAAGTACATAATTTTCTGCTGAAGATTTTACTTCAATTTTTTTGTTTCAGAATAACCTAGGCAACCAACCGGACCAAATCGGTTAGAATTCTGATGTTTTATATGTTTGCGTTTTTCTTTAAGATGGTGGATAATGTCTACTGCGATTATATAATAAAAAAAATTCTTTTTAGGAGATCCATTATTCTTTTGATCTCATTAGAAGATCACTAGACTGCGACAATTCTAATATGATATGGATGCAAGTTACTAATTATCTAAGAAATTCAGTTTTTAGTGAATGTTTTCTGTAAGACTCTAATATGTCAGTAAAATTAATAATTTCGATTTTCAATCAAAAGTTTTACACAAGCATAGGTCTTAATTAGACTAATTTATATAAAAAGTTTTATAGAACCTAAGAAGAGTTCTTCAGTTGAATCATTTGATAGTGTCCTGTAAAGAAAACGAAAAGAATTTTTATATTCAAAGATTCTCAACAATAATAATCAGGCCTAATTGTGAGATGTCAAGCCCGTTCGGTCCAGAATTAGCCCAACAGGCTCTAGTGACATGTGTAATAGAAAATACATAATTATGTTATTCTCTTACTGAAGCCTTAATAGTTTTCTTTTTCTTTTTATATTTTAGCTCCATCATCAATTCGAATATCATTGTTGTCATCGATTCTCATTTTTATTCTTGCTGTCGCCTCTAATATAATCCTGTGAGAATACAAAAAATAAATAAATAAATGTTTTTCTGACCATGAACTTCGTATTTTTATTTCTGTTCAAATGTTTTTTTTTGTTTTTCACGAATATACATGTCAAATGTACTATTATTATATAATTAATATTCCAACCACCTACATTTCTTTTTTTTCCCTTTTATTTTAACTAAAAATTGAAAAATTCGAACAAAAAAAAGATGCAAAAAAATAAAAAGAATATTCAATGTTTATATTTCATTGTTAGTTTATTTCGTAAGATCATTTTTTGATCTTTGTTTTTTCTAATTCAGCTATTTCAACTAATGTTGTTGTATCATGACAATCATCTTCAAATTCAGCTGTTAATTTTTTACTTTGTGCTATAAATTCAAGTGTTTCTTTATTTTTTCGTAAATCAGATAAACCAGTTATATCCATAAATTTATGTTCAATATTAATTTGATCATCTGCATGAAAACATACTTCAGTACGACGAAAATAACCAATTAATCTATTATAACCAGCTTGATTTTCACAATACAATTTTGATCCAATAGGAAAAAAATTTTTTGTATTTTGTTGTTGTTCATCACTATTTGTTTCATTTGTATTAAATGTATTATAAACAAGTTGATTAATACATTTTTCACGATGATCATGTAAATTAGTACAAGATTTTTGATATTTTGATGAATTATGACGTATTTTTCGTGTTTGTTTACGATACCATGACCAACATTGACGTTGTTCACGATTTGTTGGTCGAATAATACTAGGATTAATTTTATATGTTTGACGAATTGAAAAACCATGACCTTCACGAATATGAATCGGTTTATCTAATTCAATTCGAGTGGTTTCCTTTTTAGCTTCATTTTCTTTACTATTTTTATTATCCTTAACATCATTATCTTCTTCTTGATCATCTTTATCAGCAGCACGTTTTTTATAATCATGATGATGACGATGTTGCCAGCGATGGTGACCATGTCCTCGTCGTCCTAGAATAAATAAAAAAAAAAACAAAAATTTATTCTATTCGAGTGACATAAAAGAAAATTGAACTTTTACTATGGGTTTCATGTGACATATGATGATCATCATCATCATCGTCATCATCATTATCATCATCTAATTCGTCAACTATTTCCACATAACATTTGTCGAAATTCATATTTTTATTAGTTGATGTTAAACATATAAGATCATTTTCAAGTATTTTCTTTTCTAACGGTTTTTTTAATTCAATAAGTATGTTGTCACCAACTTCTTGTGATGTTTGCACATTTAAACGGCTTACAATTTTGTCTAAATATTTTTCATTTCTATTCTTTCTACCATATCGATGATGTTGAGATCTGTCAAATCGATGGCATTGTTTATTAACTTGCACTAAACTACGTGTAATCGGTCTTGCCACACAAAAGTTCTTATGTACTCGTGCCAGACAACAATGTTCTTCATTATTATTACCATCTTCATATGAATATGCATAATAAACTGATTCAACTGTTAGTATTAGAACTAATAGTGTAATACTAAGAAAAAGTAAAGAAGATGACGACATGCTTTACACTTTTTATTTTATGACTTGTATCTTATGAGACTTCAACTGCTGGGTAGATAAGATAATACTATTTTTATCATGCAGTATCAGAAGAGCAAGAAAAACAGCAAACTGATAATTATTAATATTCCTTTACTTTTTCTCTTCATGAAATGTCTTATTTTTCTTTCTCAGAGCATTATTTGTATACTAGCTGTGTATGGTTTTTCTTGGCCTTGTATTTTGTTATAATCTTTATTTTTTGGTACATGTAATCCGACATCTGTGGCTACAAAACAACGTTTTTAATCGGACTATAAAACAAAATGTACCTGTCGACTTTTTATTATAAACAGAGTGTAACTACAACAACCAATTGCTTTTTAATAACATATTAAAAAAAAACAAAATTACTAGTTATTCATTTGATAAACAAGATTCATAGAGAGACGATAAGCAAAAAGCATATCTTTCTTTTTTTCGTCTCTTATGATCAAATAGATAAATTGATCAATAGGTGAAAAATAGTAGAATACTCGAAAATAATAGAATAAATTACCTTTACTGTTATTTGTACATAAAAATTCATCGTTAAGCATTTTGGTAACAAAATGTAACTTTATCTATGAAAATGTCTTAAATACTCTCTAGATGTGTGAGCAAACTTTGAAATAGCATTTATATTGAAACTATTAGATGTTCTGTACATTTGGTTTCTACTGAGTACATCTATCATAAGGAATACGGCTGAATGCAATTAAAATATAATCACTTGTTGAAATAATGGTTCTATTGTAGAAACAGAAAAATTAAGTTTATAGATTACAGAAGGCAAAAAAAATGAAAATACAGTCTGTTGTTTTCATTTAGTATATCGATTGAAGTGCGTATATGGTCAAAATGACCAAAACATCTATTGCTTCATCAATATTTTGGTTCTATCAATTAATGGGTAACCTTAGATTAGATTTGAAAATTGATAATAAAATGTTTATCTTTAATGATGATCTGTGCAATCAAATGAATCTCAATGCCTACGAAAACACCAGATTGTATCTTTCTCATTGATTGCAATAAAAACTATTAAATAAGACCGTATACTTTGAATTTGCTTTAACGAATGATATATTTATTAACGAAACTATTCAAATCAATACTTGTACAATATTGATACAATAACAGATCTTTAAACCTTACGAACAAACAGATGTCAGGAGAGATCAATCATTAAATTAGAACGTAGTGTTTATTGAGATATAGTGAAGAAATTTTTATAAAAAAGAAAACTGAAGTGTTTGAAAAAAAAGAAGTGTGTTGTATTGAAGGTTTTAATTTTCAGATGATTGAACAAAATATACAAACCAACAAAAAGATAATGAATGCGAGCGTTGCTAAGCTGCTGGTTTATATTAATGGTTGATGTAATGTTGATTATATTGTAATGCAAATATTCGTTTAGAAATAGAAGTAAGTTAGATAGTTTGGTTTTCGTTTTGTTTTATTTGTTATTACTTTCTTTTTTCCTCTTATTATGATATTATATTTGCCATTCATTATCATTGAGACTCGAAGCCATTAAAAGAGCATCATTACCAAATGTTTCAAGGTTTTTTTCTGTTTCATCCATTTCTGTGTAACCTACTGCTGTACCAGTTGTTGCCGTACATGATATATGATCAAAAAATGAAATATCTTTTTTATATGATTGTGGTTGTTGTTGTTGTTGTTGTTGTTGTATTGTATTTTCATCAGAAGGTGATCCTTGAAGTGATGAACGACGTTTAACTAATTCCTCTAGTTCAAGATATCGACGAAATTCTTCATTAGCTTTTTCAAAATCATATTGTTCATCAAATGATGGAAATATATTTGATGATGAATCGAATTGAATAATTGAATGAGGACCAATATCAACACTTACACTACTACAACTACTTGCACCTGAAACTGTACGTTGATTGCGATGTGAACCTATTGATTCTTGAAATGATACTGGTGTTTGCATTTGATTACGATCACTTGAACATCCATATTGATAAGGTAAACTTAAAGTTGAACGCACACTAGCTGTTGATCGACGTGAAGGATTATTTCGTGATATCAATGGTCTATTTGGTATTGGTGGTGTTAATATTGGTGGACTTGATGTTGGTACTGATGTTTGACCTGGAATCTCTAAAAGAATGATATATATATATATATTTATATATATACTTCCAGAATAAAATTAAACTTACGTCTATATTGAGGATTATTTTGTGTTTTGTCTTTATACTGTGGTTGAGAAAAAAAACGTTTATCCATACATGTTGATGCATGAATACGATATTTTGCCGTAGGTGGTGGTGTTCGAATAGGTCTTGTTTTTGTTGTTCGCGGTGGATTTGTTTGTGTATAATTTTTTTTACCAGTCAGTTGTCTTTGTGAAACATATCTTTGATTTGAATGATTATAATTTTGTTGTTGTTGTTGTTGTTGATGATGATGATGATTATTATTATTATCGATTGCATTTATTCCATATGGTAATGATTGTGAACGATCTGGTGAAGTAACAGGTTGTAAACGTGGTCGAAAACGAGGTCGTTCATAAAATGTAAATGATGAATTTTGCATTCCAGGTGTATGTCGTTGTTGAGTAAAAAATGGTGTAGCATTTGGATTTAATTGACTTGTAATTGTTACACGTATTGGTGATGATATACGATTGTCATTAACTGTCGATTCTTTTTTTAATGTATTATGATTATTAATTGGTATTGATGTATCAATTATCTCATGATTATCAAGAATAATTTGACGAACATTATTATTTGTATTAATTGATGAAGTCGATTGTATATCACTACGACGATCAATTTTTTTTGGTAAAACTTTTTTAGCAAGTAATGTAACTGGTTTTGAATTAATATTAGTTGTTGTTATTAATTGGCTAAGTTGATGAATTTGTTCATCAAGTGATTCATCATTACTTTCATCAGGAAATTTTTCATTTGGACGAAAATGAAATGAAGCTGAAGAATCATTTGAATCTGAAGATATTAATGCACTATCTCCATTACTTCCCAAGGATTCACCACGACTTTGACGTGCTATAGGTGCACGTGGTGGATGATCAGGATTTGAACCATTTGATCTTGTTTCATATTCATCAGATGATGATAAACGAATATCAACAAGACATGGATCAATAGCTCGTAATTTTGCTTTTGATTCATGAAATGTTGAAGGTAATTCGATCAATTTTAATTCTTGAATATCACGTACATTTAAACATACTTGTTCGTAGATATGAATATCATTTGTTAAATGATCAATCATCACAGCATTTAATGTATCAGTACTAATATTTTTATGCGAATCATCCGAAGGGCTATCTAAATAAGATATATATTTATTTTTGGTTAAATAAAAAAAAAAAAATTTTTTTTCTTATTTACTTCGATTGAAAGAATCTGTTATGCTTGCATTGACACGCACATTTTTAAGATAAATACGATCTTTATTGGCACTAATACCATCGAGTATACCTTCATAGGAAACATGAGCTTTTGATAGAACTCGTACAGTACAACCATAATAGGGACTGTGCGTAATAGCGTTAAAGTCTTCTTGTTGTTGCCCTTCAACCTGCATTGACTGTTATGAGCGTTGAAACATGCGCAGGTGCGGAAATATTTTAAATATTTTCTTTTTTGCAATACTATTTCTATGCATGACAAGCGTTGCATCGTTTCTCTCTCCCTCTCTGTCTTCATCTCTTCATACGATGATCGCCCAATCGTATCGAAACTGATGATTGGTGCAAAATTGCATGTGATCGTTTACATGACGTCAACATGCTACCTGTATTGCTTGTTTTTTCTTGTTATTGATATATTCTGTTGGTCTAATTGTTTTTTCTTCTCTTCAATTCTTTTTTTTTTTTTTTTGTGCATACAATTATGGATTGTCTGTATACATAAGGGGAAAACAACACTTTCTATTGTGATGAATAGAGAGCAAAAGTAAAGAAGAAGGAGACGGAGGAGCAAGGCAAGAAGAGGAAGAAAGAGATAAATGTGTCGTTGTAATACTTAAGAGTAAGACTGTTGTTGACAAGCGAAAAAGAGCATGGGCAAAAGTATGAAGAATATGTCTTTTGTCGTGATTGCGATTTATCACTCAAGCGTGAATAAAACATGATGAAAAGACATGTTTTTTTATTTGTTTTATGATTATCGAAATGCGTAAAATAAAAATAAAGATTTATATTTTTGTAAGATTCAATGTAAAAACAATGAAAATTTCAAAAAGAAAAATAGAATTTTATTAAATGAATAGTAAAAATTTTGAAATATAAAACAAACAGTAAAACAACACAATTTTATTGAATATCAATCATTCATAATTGACTTCTGATTGTTTTTGTTTATGCACAGGCCAAAAATAAAAACAACTAATACGAAATAAAATGTCATATTTGTCAATATAGTTTTCCAGAGCATTCATTAATATCATATTTTGAAACTTAATATTGTTGAATACATAAACATCGATTGTATATAATATACTAAGAAAATTAAGAATAAAAGTTTTCATCATTTTAATATATTGTTTAAATATGATGACATTCAAAGTTTATGGAATTTTTCACATATGAATGAATTAAAAAAGACAATTGAAGTTTGTTTCGATCAGAGTTAAAAAAAGGTAGAAATTATTAGAAATAAATTTGTCACTTTTAGATCGATAATACGAAATTATCTAAAAAATGCCACCTAAAGGAACAAAAAGTCCTCGAACAAAAAGTCCAAAAAGTGGTAAACCAGGAGGAGCAACTTGGGAATCATTATTAAGTTCAGTTTCAGCTAATCAAGTGAGCAATTTTGAAAACTATAATTGAAATTTATTTTTCTTTACTCTATTGACTAGGATAATTGGATAACATTTGTTTGTTTTCTTACACCTGATTGTGCTGTTAATCAAATTTATGTTGATCTTATTGAAAAAGCTATGCAAAATGGTGTTCGACGACGATT